TTTGGTTGCGCACCACACGGCAGCTTTCAGTCTCATGATAGCAGATAGAATTCCAAAGGAGTGACCTCCGTGCAACACACTTTTGGTGAAGAGCTGATAAATATTTTCCCCTCTGGCATCTATATTCTTTAAATTATATTCCTTTATTACATGTTTTAATGGCGGGTAGTGGAAAGCTTTGTCTGCAATATCTATCTGTGCAGGCAACAGCATCTAAGTTACAAGTTTTCACAAACCATTCGGTGACACGTGGGGAGTAGAAACCACCAGCATATGTTTGACAATTCTAGGATAAAGATTAGTCTGAACAAATTCATAATAATTGCAAATGGGAAGTGCATTGAACCTGGATTCTTTTTAACGACCACCAGGGGGCGATAGCTGCAGTTGCAAAAAAGGCTCATTCACATATTTTTTTTTACCAAGCTGAATAAAATATAAAGTCCATTTACTAAAGTTTGGCCATTTTGACTTGCAGAAAGGAGGATATCCAGAATATCAACTAACAACTTGTGACTGAGTGACATCAAAATGGCTACATCTATCATTTATACAGTCTTTGAAGGTGCAAAGTGGACTTCTGCTTTTTTATAGAGGTGCTGGATTCCGTGAGACAAAAAGCCTCAAGGGTTTATTTTTTCTTTAATTTGTCACCTGCCTTTATGCAGTTTGCAGACAAAACCTTGCGTGATCATACTGGCCTTTAATTAGCAGGAAGTATCGCTGTAACGGAGTTCCTGTTGCTTTCCCGTCAAAATACAGAACACTAGTGTCGGTGATCTGGCAGGAAGCGCCTGCTGCTGCTGCTTGGAAGCATCATTTGCATGGACTCTGACCGGAGCTAAAGAAATTATGCCACATTTCAGACTTTCACCTGCACCTTGCAATGAGTGAAATGACCCATGTTATTAGAAATAAGGCACAACAACCTTTCCATTTGGCATAGGACTAAAATATAATTTGAGACAAGCATTTATAGTCATACATTCAACAAATTCAGAAAAATGAAAACAAGTGCCTGAGTGTTCAAAAGGAAACGAAAAACAACAAAGGAGAGAATTTAATTCACATCAAATCACGCTTCCAGATAGTCAATACAGCAGCCAAACAGGCAATGCGATAGTGTTCAAAGGTACAAAATGTAGTCTAGAAGAAAGACTGACTTGTAGCATAATCTTAGAGCATCCACAGTCATATTTTTTTTCATACAGAAAACAGTATCAAACATTAGGCAAAGTCATCTCATGACAAAACCAAGAACATATGCATGCATTTATGTTTTTTTTTATATAATATTGAGCTTGCATACAAAGGCAGACAGATTACAAAATCGAAATCACATGTCAGTTTTATTCATTACATATTAATCGGGGAGGGGGGGAGGAGAGGGACCACTGCTGTGTTAAGGAGTATATTGAGATGCCAGCAAAGTTTCACAGCCGCCTTGTGTCTCCCGTATCGATGGGGCTGAAGAGACTGTTAACACTTAAAGGAAACGGAGACGGAGAGGCCAGCTGAAATGCGTTAAAGATTTCATTCCCCAGCTTTGAAGGTGCGATATCACTTATCAAAATCAAATTTTTCCTCAAAATGAACGGAAGCAAGCGCGAAAAGGAATCTAATTATTCAAACAGCACTGTGTCAGTAATGAAACTGGGTGAAGAAGGTCAAATAGTATAACAAATGGACATTAGAGCTGTTCTTCACAATCCAACAGCTGCAACTAGTGAGTTAAAATGATACGACTGCAAAAGCAGCTAGCCACACCGACAGAGTCGACATGCTCCTGAAAGAAAAAGCCCAAACATGCCTGCTCGATCGCTTACAGTGACGTGAGGTAATGACAAAAAGCTGTTAGCTAAATTGCAAGCCTGACAGGAATCCCGATCGCTACGTGAGGAGTATTTGTGCGCTGCTTCTGGGTCGCCAGCCTGTGCACGGTGGATGAAAGCCGGGTGTGGTGGAGGACATGCATAAAAAGGGTCGTACTGGGGAATCGAACTATATATGGCATGCATCCCAACCTGGTGATCTGAGGTTTGAGTCCTGGGATTCAGGACTGCACAGGGACTCGGGGTAAACTTTAAAGTGGACCTGCTATGCTCATTTCCAGCTCAGTATTTTTATTTCTGGACTAGAGAAGCTCTGAATGAATCATGGTTCAAATCAATGCTTTTTTATAGGTCGCACATTGAATACTGATTGGTTTAAAAGTGGGCCTGAATAGGAACGGGAGTGAAAGTGGTGTTCATCACAAATGCGAAAAAACCACATCAAAGATTTAAAAATGTTGCAAGATAGTGCCTGTAGAGGCCAGTTTTAACTGTTTTTAACATTTCAGCCCCTCTTTGTGTATCCAGTGGTGAAAGTCTGTTGCAGCCTTAGGCATGAAATACAAAGGCGCCCCTTTAGCTGTAATATGCTCTAAAGAATCTGACACCACCAACGACAGTGTGGTCACGTGGATGGGCTCTCCATCTGTCATTACAGTCTTTAAACATCGGCACTGCTGTAGTTTAAAGTTTGTCTGCTCTCGCGGGGCAAGCATTGTCCTGCCTTGCCAGGTAAAACACCTCTGGTTATATCGCAACAACAACACAAGCAAGACCAGCCCACAGACTGTGCTGTGTCACTTATTTCTGACACTGCCCCCTAATGGCAGTGCACAACTACAACATGCCATCAGTAATCGTAAAAGCGGTGCGTAGGCTCCGTATGGCAGCGGTCCCCAACCTTTTTTGCGCCCCGGACCGGTTTATGTCCGACAATATTTTCAGGAACCGGCCATTAAGGTGTTGCGGATAAATGCAACAAAACAAAACCAGTACCGGTAACAAAGAAAACAAGATTTATTCATAACACACGGAAAAAGACCCAGGGAAACCGAGTTAACAAAAAAAAAAAGATCAAAAAATAACGCTTAAAAAACCGATAAAAACCCTGAAAACCATAAATTTCACGGTCCGAGTCCCGGGGGTTGCTGTATGGGACCCAGGCACAAACATACCAGTCTGTTGAGCCAGTGGTTCTCAAAATGAGGGGCAGGGCTCACTTGTAGGGCACAGAGCCACTGACCACAAGACGAAATGACGTGCATCTAACTTGAATGAAAATTTGCAGGTCAACCAAATAAGCAAGACTTAGCTAACATACTAACACTTAAAATATAACTTAGATCTGTTTTTATTTATAATGACTGATTAAAAAAAAAGTGAGAATATAGTTCTCCTGGAGTTTGGAATATCAGAATCCAGCTCACGTAGGATTAGCTTCCCCTTCAATCACACAACCAGAGCAGCTCCCAGTGACCAAATTCAGGACTTACTCTCTTTATCCTGAAATAGCCCAGAATGATGTCACATCATACTTTCCTGAAAAACAGGAATGAAATTGGCTCACAGGAATTACCTGCACGCATGCTGGGCTCAGTATTTGAACCTTTGACCGTAATTAATACGAGCAGAGATCATTGGAACAGTATGTATGTGACAGAAAGCAAGGATAAGCATAGTAGGTCCACTTCGACAAAATATATTAAAATTAAAACAATCATAAGTCATTCAAAGTAAAATGTTAACTCACTTAGAATTTTTTGAGCGAGATAAGCCCTGGTAGTCCGCTGCAGGGGAGTGAGTTCAACCATCTCTATTCCCAGATACGTGTGCTCAAATACAGAGCTTCAGATCCGACGTATGAACAATATGAACACTACAGAGCACTGTGGAATAGAAGGGGTTAAACATGTACATTCTGTTTGATACATTTCTAGTGGAGGTGCTCACATAAAAAAACAACAATATAGTAACAATACACATACACTGCTAGTATATTAAAAATGCTGCCCTTCTCATCCGTCTTAGCGAAGGTCGCATTGCACGACTGAACGACCGCAGTGACTTCAGCCAAAGAGGGCGCGTTTGCCCGTTTAGCAGCAAACTTGAACTTCAGCAGGAATAGGCTGTTGTAAACAATACATGCTTTTTGTGTTTTAATTTCTATTTTTTCTCTTTTTAAACATTTGATGTAAACTTCCTGTTTTTGAAATTCGGCCCTTTTGACAAACAGCAGGTACATTTTCATCCAGCTGAAAATGCCATCAGCGAAACTAATTTTCAGTAGTGTAAACAATAAGCTGCACACACACACACACACACACACACGCACACACACAATAGAGCTTCCCAATCAGGTGGCATTGTGGCTCAACAAGTGATTTTCACCAGACGGGTCACCCACTGAACTTCATTCTGTTGTTGATTACAGCTGCACTCAGCTTTCCAACACTGGAGCACGCTGTGTGGCGTGACGACTGCACATAGCGACTATGGATGTTTCTTATTTTCTGCATGAAATATGACCACAGAGCATCAGAACAATGAGCTTTTTCTGCCTATATTCATATCCATGCAGCTCCTGGATAATCACAAAACCCCACAGTATCGTTACTATTCTGTGTTTTTTGCACTTGTCTAAGTGACCATCTGCCTCAGATTGACTCAGGGGCACTTTGCTGTTTGCAGTTCGAAAGAAATGTAATCATGCCCTTGACGTTTGAACCCATTTTCTTTCACTCTTAAGAAGTCTCAAACTTAAGAAGTTATTTTTGACCACAAAGAAAATCCAGCTGATTGAAAACAGCGCTGCGGCCTTGTACCCATGATTCACCTCTCAATTATATTATAACGCTCACTGGTTTCAGTTTTTCTGATTTTTTTGAAGTCTGGATGGGATGACTGAATGGAGCAAACACTTGCAGAGCCTCGATCCTCGACCACAAAAGTCAGCAGATGACAGTTGGAACTTAATCGGTGGTTGGTTCACATAGTTGGTGACATTTTGTCATGTCTCATACAGAAACATGCAGGGATGCCATGAATAACTGCTGTAAAGAAGCCTTAAGAAGGAATTTACGTTCAACGTTAGCGTATTAGTTCTTTAACCTCTTGTTTTAACCTTAAAGGAGAGCATCAGTTTTTACATGGATTTAAAGCCAGACTTTGTTAACCCAGAGTGCCTTAGATTTCAGGGACGGGTTAGGGTGGTTGCTCCAGTTGTGATACTGCCTATCAAGGCCTCAACATGCTTCAAACAACGATCCCATCTTTATATAATTATATGTAGCAGCCATATTAACCTTGTTGTTTACACGTGTGTCTTCAACACCGTAGCTAAAAAGTCTAAAGAGCTTAAAAAAAAAAAAAGAGGTAACTGGACTTCTTCAATTCTAAAAACAAAAGGTCATGTGATTTATCACGAGTCACAAGAGGGTCGGTACCATCATACTTTGGCCCAACCCATCATGTGACCATCATGTGACCTATTGAAGTCAAACATCTTCACAAATTTAAAGAAGTCTAGTTGTCTCTTTTCTCAGGCTTTCTACACTAACGTGACCTGGATGACTAAGAAGCTACAGAGACACATTGTGCATGCCTGGTTTAAACACATCTGTGCCCTCTAAGTTTGTCTCCTTTTGAATCCCTGCACTGCTTCCAGGACTTTTTGTAGACACTGTATTTGATATGCTCCACTCCCTCAAAATGACGACCATTGCCTTGAATTTCACTATAGTGAATTTGGAAAGAAGTACGATTCTGTTGTTGTGGCTAAAAAACATTAGCGTGTGAAGAAAAACACTAGAGGTGAGGCTGTGTCTGCTAAATGTTCTTCTTCAGACTCTTTGGGAGGTAAAGGTAACTCTGTTTTAACTGAATTTTACAGTGCAAAACCCTATGAATGTGAAAAAAGCTCAATTCAGACCTGATGCACCACCTTTGGGCCTTTTCTTCTGTTATACTACTTAGATTCTTTGTTGTAACCAGAGATAGGCACAGTTACTGTATATCGAGCCCATGATGTGCCACACTGGGATCTGGATCTTTCTCAAGTTTCTCACCCACATCTTCCAAAGCCGAACCTTTCATATGATCATTGCTCTCTGTCACGGTGAAAGTGAATGATACACTCTCAAATGACAACTGCATGGCAGGAGTCTCGCATTCAGCTATCCATCGTTGCTGATATTAATTGGGGAGCGTGTGACTGTCTCTTCACGTTAGGCCTATGATGGACTCACACGAAGGGTCCAGGGTGTACCCAGCGCAGCTCCAATATGACTCGTAGTTGGATAAGCATGAAAAAACAAATGGATGGATGACTCGCCATCTGGTGCTGTGATGAAATCTGACTCCCACATACTATACATCAGTCTACAGCTGAATCCAAATAGATGGTGGAGGCTGTGAAAGTATACTTTTTTGTTGTAATTTAGACATATTGAAATCAAATGTAACTATATTCTTTAAACTGGCCACAGATGGATTAAATATGATGCCAGCAGGTTGATATTGTTTGCAATATCTTTCTTAACAAGTAAAACCCACAATTAAAAAAAAGGTTTTCTGCTTTAGAACTGCAAAAAGCAAAAATTATTTTATTAACTTATGGTTTAAAATAACTGAAACTATCTTTACAGAATAAAGTTAGTGAGTATTGGAGGGCATTGTAACTCCTTTCTACTTAAGACTCACTCTCGATGTGTTTGCAGACCACTTTGCATTTACTCATTAATCTCTGGTTTCTTCCTGTTTAAAGGGAGTTCTTCCTTCCCACTCTCGCTAGTGTCACTCTACTTGCACATTGGGGGCCTTCTAATTGTTAGAGGTTGCTGTTTATTATTGTAGATTATTTGGCTTACAATATAAAGTAGCTTTAGGCAACTCTTGCCACAACCCAGCTCTCTTTCTCTGTGGAGTTTTTGCCTTTACACAAGCTTCACTATTAACTCTATCAAACAAACAAAACAGCAGTTTTTTAGTTAGAGTTATGGTTCAGACATGGTTTGAAGCATAATGAGACCTCAACCTTTAAAGACTGTTCTCCATAAACTACACGAAGTCTCTATGGCATTGCTCTCATCTTCCCAAATGGAAAATACATGCTCCAAATCTAGAACTTGTATTAGTAATACGAAATATTTGCTACATCCTTTGTTAGTGTATCCACTACTTTAAATCCTAAGACTGCTCATAGCCATGAAATTGAAATCATGAGGTTTTTCCTGTGCAGCTTTATGGATTAGTGGAAATTCTTTAACTGCTGTAAAAGATCTCATCAAATAGATTTTGCTTCTTTTATCTTCCACCGTTCATACAAGAATCCTTTAAAGTCAACACTACAATCCCTGTCAGTCATCTTGTGGATTGAATTTCTCTTAAAAACATGAAATGAGCAGCGGTGCAACCTCCTTTCTGTATGTGTGAAAGTGTTGTTGAACACAAACATGAGATGTGTATGTTTTAAACTCAGCCCTGTGGAGAGGAAATACTGTGTATTCCCAAAGAGAGGCGTCTCAGGTCGATGCGGGCAACACGAGGGCGACCCAGAGAAGACGACCTGGGTGGAGAGGACGGGGAGGATGCGGGAGTCCTGGTGCAGCCGGCGAACAGGTTGGACGAAGGATTGTGTGTGTTCAGTCATTTAATGAACCAGGTAATTCATTGGTCAACGTGTGCCAGCGTTCAATTTTTTTGTCCTTGTTTTTGAGGCAGTCAAACCAGTGCTTGAGCCTTTCTCCATTTGCATTGATACCCAGAGATACACCACCTAAAAGGAGGCACAAACACAGAATGAGTTCTTATTAGAAAGACAGGAGACTTATAATGCATCACATTATAATATCAGTTTATATTCTTAGCATCATAAAACAGCTGAAAAACAATATTAAAGATGAAAAACCTTTTACAAATTATTTATAAGTTGGTTTACTAAAGAGAATCAGTTATGTTCATTTCCAGCTCTGTGTGTTGCATCACTGGACTTTGCACGGCTCACATTAAAATAAAAATCCTTATATGTTCATCCTATATTAAAAGTTACAGCACCCTCCAGAAATTTATGCCAAATGTAGTGCTGTCCATTATGGTTGAACATTTAGTCTCATATGGCCAAAGAACGTTGTTACAATAGTCTTTTGGTTTATTCGGATGCAACTTTGCAAACCTGAGCTGTGCTGCCCTACTTGTTCAGTCTTTTTCTAATGCTATAGTCATGCACTTCAGCAGTGAACATGTTAACTGAGGCCTGTTGAGTCTGAGATTTTTTGCAGCTTCTCTGTGCGCTGCACAATCCGACCTTGGGGTGAATTTGCTGGGACGTCCTCTCTTTGGAAGATTGTGCCATTGTGTTAACATACATCTGAATGCTCCAGACCAGCAAAATTGCCAAAGCTTTAACCATGGTGCTCACACAAACTGATGATCGGTTGATTTAGTGCATTTGATTAGCACTTAGCTGCTATTTACACTTTATATTCCTCTGGAAGCAGTGAGGATGTACTTAGCTTTTCACATGGCTGCACAGAGTGCTGTGAAAACTTTGTCACAGTACTGCAGATACATCTGAGGTCTTGTGTTTCCCCTGAGCTCCAAAGATCTGATTGGCTTTTTATACAGACAAACAGGAAACAGAAGATTCCAGCTGTGATTTGAAAGCACAGGACATGGCACATTTTTCAAAATGTGATCATATATATTGTGATAATGTGTAAGTTCATTATGATTTATCATATTATGTGTTGACTTGTTATATTACATTGTTTTGGGGGGGGTTATTCATAATGTTATTATATTAACCTCAGTTGTGACATCTTTTTGAGTTGGACCTCGTTTAATAGCTACTTCTTTAGATTTCTTTACCCTTTTTTGGAATTTATGGATAATGTTACAATTATTCTTAAGACTGTGAAATATCCACGCCACACAATCACAGCTTTTCCATCGCCCTTAAAAGTCTCATTACACAACAAACACACAATCCCACCTGTGTTGATCTCCATCTTTTTGTTGTAGCAGCAGTTAGTTTGTGTTTGCATTCCTTTTCATGTTGGAAATGCAAACCGAAACAAGTCCTTAAAAACATGCAGACCCCAGTAACCCTCAGGGAGTCTCAAAGTGTCAGCACAGTGAAGCCCAGCACTGCTTACCTATGAAGTCATTCGACTTTCCAATGTCGTAGTCCCATACGGTCACCTCCAAGGTCTTTTTGGTGAGGTCTGCATATTTTATGTCATAACAGAACTCCTGCAGAAAATAAAAGAGGGCAAAATAAGAGCTCCACAATTTTCTCTCTCAAAACACATGATTAATAATACCTCATCTTTTCAGATCACCACGTTGGGGCTTTAAGAGTTTATTTATTCTGATGGACCATCGTCACACACACACACAAAAACACTCTAATGTGCAGTTTTTCGGTTTGCATAATTATCAAAACAATTCTGAAAGCTTTTGTTTCATTTCCTGCTGAAATTCATTCAGAACGCCTCATTAGGTTTTAATATTTTGTTAGTGCCTTAAACAAGACGCTGTTTAATCTAGCTCTTCTCGCTCTAATGTTTTTTTCAGTCACTACATAACCAGACTCATTTTCGTTAGTTAAGGAAACTCACAGCACAGCAAAGGTGTCAACGTATCTTAAACTTGGAGCGGAGGAAATTAAATGCGGAATACACACACGGCTTCTGTAACAGCATGACAGTGTAATCGATACAGTCCACTGTCCACTAAATGAAACAAGCATTTTCTTCTGAAATCAATTTGCAGTTTGCGAAGCAACAATCTGCGGTTCAATCACCTTAATGAAACCAGAGCCTCGATATGGAGGAGGACCTCATTGCTTGTCTCCAACGGAAAGGCCAGGAGGTGATGGAAGAGTATGGGCGCAAAAAAATGTCAGAGGAAATGTCAAGTCGCTGGCCTGTGTGAGCGTTCGGCTGGGGTACGTCCACTCGTATACAAGCAGAAACGTCCGAGCCGAGCTGCCCTGTGGCCCGTTCAGCCTCAAAAACATGTTTGGCATTCTTGTTCAAAACGTGGCCGAAGCAGCACCTGTCTGATTTCAATACAATTTAAAATCAGCCATGAAGGGAGGTGTTTGGCTGTGAGACTGAGGAGCTCCGGCTCAGCTAAGAAGAACATAAAGGTTGATTACTTAAATTGCTTCCTTCACGGTCAAAGCAGCGGTATACAGCATGGTAAAGGTCTGGAGGCAATGCAATAGCGTTCAAAATTATATTAAGCTCCCTGTTTTAACAAACATTATTTACATTTTTGGACAACTGGGCCAGAAATACTGACTTGCTTTTATAAACTAAAACGCATTGTCCTCTTAACTCTGGCTTTTCAGCTGCTAAATGTTTGCAAAGTACTCACAGTTGCAAACTACAGTTAAAAGTTAAAGTTAATTGTACTTTGCAACTGTCAGTACAGTGCCAGTTTTTACATACATATTATAATCTTACAGCCATCGTTTATGATGTTTATGTCCATCATAAACGATGGATATGAGTACCAATAACAGACAAACTAGGCAAAACCCTGGCAACTGCTGTCACTAGGTGAGACTAGTTGAAAGAGGGTGATGCATAAAAACCTTCTTGGACACTAGAAGATTGCTGTGGTTGTCTGCAGTTTGCATGGAAGACGGTGACGTGTCTGGAAACACTGATCAGCTACTTGCTGAGTGGCAGTGAAACTTGAACTTTCAGAGTAAAGGTTGTGCCTTAACATTTGTAAAGGTGCAACTTTTACTGTCGCTTGGTGAGTAGTTGGCAAGTGTTTGCAGACAGCTTGGTGTGTTCCATACAAATTAAATGTGACAATACTGATCTGCAAGTGACCACAAACACCACAGGGAGGCTTTTGGTGCAGTACCATACTGTATGTCTCTTTGGAACCAGTTTCACCTATCAGCTACCAGCAGGTAGCTGACTGGTCTCTAGACCTGTGGGATTAAAGCACACGGTGTCTCATGATGAAACCGCCATCGCCATCTTGATGTTTTGAAGCCTCACATTTTCTGATACACTTCTATATAACTTGAAGCCTTTTTACAACCCCATGGGGGTTAAAACAATGTAGATGTAATGTAACAGTAATGTAACAACAATGTAACAACAATGTAACAATGTAAAACAGACCCCTTCATGTTGGTTTTACTTTTTAGGTTAACCAAGCTTGTTAGTGTTAGCTGTCAGCTTAGCGCTCTCACATCAAAATATGCCCACTTATAGATTCAATAAACCAAAGGAGTGTTTATAGTTCTAAAACCAAGCCGACAAATGACTGGGTTATATCATTGTTTAATGTTTTTACCATTAAATGTATCAGGTTAGAAACTATATTTCTTATATGTAATATTTGCAATAAAATATCAGAATCCTGAAGGCATACACTATGAAAAGGGAAAAGGAGAAGACAAACTACAGGTTTTATAAAATCTGAAGGTTTGCCACTATAAAGAAAACTTTTACATTAAATATGAATTTTTCTCTCTTATTATTACCACTGCAAAAAGTATTTATTGGTGCAGATAGAGCCATTAAAACTTTATTTTCAAAGCTTCAGAGCTTCAGGCATTGATAGGACTAAACAGTCACTTAATAAGTTAACCAGTCAGTAACTTGGCTCATCGGTTTTATAAGAGAAGATCAATAGAAGTTCAGTCCTGATAAAATACACCTGAGTTTTAGCCCGTCTTCAGTGGTAAACACTTGGCTAAACAGGACTTTAATTATTTAAGTTATTTTTTGGTTCTGCAGCTTTTTTAAAAAGCCATCTTGTTATGAATTAAGAAAAATTCCAACAGTGTTGCCCTGTCAAAGTGGCTTTTGTTGGTCCCAGGGTTATGAAGGTCGCTCAGCACATAAAGCACCAGATAAAGCTCAGGCAACAATAAACAGGAATAAAATAGAAAGAAATGCTGCAAGGTTTAGCTGTGGTTTATACCTCATTGAACTCAGGATTGAGCGTCTTCTTTTTCACAGCAGTCTTGTGCTTTGACTTTTTGTTCTCGTCTGGCTTCAGATACCTGCAGGACAGAGAGGGGAGGAAAGAAAAGAAGATTTAATACAATTTTCTGATGCTTATATTTATGAGTGAAACAGCAAAAATGAAAATATTACATATCCCTGCAGAGCACACGGTGCTCATGTGTTATTTGAAACCACCATCAGTAATGTGAAGCCTCACACAGTGGTCAGACAGCACACTGTACATTTCTCAGCTGTTATATTGTTCTGTCCTCCAGGGGGTGCTGTGGGACTGCCCTACATTCAACCACACAGCTGCATTACATTACACTACACACACACTAAATCACTACATCATCTGATTTTTAGAAACTCCAGATGTTATTAAGGCTTTTCTTTTCTCAGCTTGCAATCCAAAGACCTTGTGGTGCTTTCCCCTGCAGCTGCAGTCCCACTCTATCAAGACTGATGTCCCACACGTGGTTAGTTAAACAATAACATTTCACTCTAGTGTCTGCTTGATGAGATTACCGTGGAGAAGACATCTCACCTCATAACAAAAAGACATTTCCAAAATCAGTCGATACTCCTGCGCATTACTGCAGAGAAGGTCTCCAGTCTCTAGTTTATTTAAACCCTTCATCTCAGATTCTCTGTGTGAGGTTTCTGGATGTTGGTCATTTGTTCCTATTATTTCTGGATGTTGGTCATTTGTTCCTATTATTGGCTTTCCAACCTTTTTTTGTGGAGCTTCTGGGAGTCATACCACACTTCACTTTGCTAGACCTTAGACAAAACTAATTCATGTTTATTTCTTTAGGTTTTTAGCGAGATTAACATTTTAGAGCCTGTGATATGTACTGCTGTTACTGTGACTCAGGCATGCAGCAGTAACCTATAAACTATTCTCTGCTGACTGCCAAAATCTGGGGGCTTCCAGTGTAGCCGGTGGATATGGCGGGGTAAAGCTTACTATGCTGTGTGCCGGTGACACATTTTGAAAAGTTAATAAACTCCTTTTTTGGCAAATGCAGTGCTTCATTTGGCCATCACAGGGACTGTTTACCTGCAAGCATCCAAAGCCAGCTCAAATGTGATTTGTCAATAAAGCTTGAGGACTGCAGAGGGTAAAACTAATTTTCCAGTTTCAAAAACTCTCTCGTTTTATAGCTGATAAACACAGTATAAATGGCCAGTAACACTTTATAATGTGGCCTCAACTCAGGAGTAATTCCCCTGTAATGTAATGGAATATCAAGGTATTTTATTTAAATTACAATGTAATATATTGACCCACAAATATACTAAGCCAGGTTTTTGCAGGACAAAAAAAGAATTATTTTGAAGTGTTACCAAATTAACTTTTTTATTTAAAAATATAATTTTCATACACATTATTCTGCCGATGAAGGGAGGGAGCATGCAATCGTTCTGTTTGTTTGTGTGTCTCTTTATTAGCACTCCAGGGTCCACAGTTTCAACATATCATGTTCAGATTTAACTTTACAAAAATAAGCTTTCAAGAGGGGCAGAGATGTAATCTGATTACCTTTTTCAAGTAACGCGTAATTAAAGGGATTACTATTGCAAAAAAAGTAATTAGATTACTGTTACATTCACCGTAAGCATGCTGCGTTACTAAACCGTGGTTTTGTTTGTGAGAGTGTCTCATGACAATGACGTACAAGCGTGCGACGTGCGTGGCAGCAACAGACGTGTGTAGATCAACAATGGATAATATGGAGTGCGGGAGAGAGTACTAGCATACAGCATTTAAAGCTCGGAAGTACTGACATTACTTTTAGCATATATAATTATTCTTTTAATATACTGAAATATGCAGAAAATAGGTTTAAATGTTAAACAAATTTCTTCCAAACAAAGACAGTTGCATATAATTTAATTTCTGCTTGATGCAATGTGCATAAAGTAACATAAAACATAAAATCAGTAACATAATGGATTACTTTTTTGGAGAAGTAATCAGTAATTAGTAACCAGTGTTGGGTAAGTTACTTTAAAATAGTAACTTAGTTACATTACTAGTTACTTCTCTCAAAAGTAACTCAGTTACTTCAAGTTACTCGTTACTTTCAAAGTAACTAGTTACTAGGGAAAGTAACTTTGGTTTTACTCAGAATTCTCTTGTTAATGTGTTTCTTCCATAACTTTGCCAGTCTTCTAGCTTGCTTACTTGCCACAAGTGCACTGTGCCACCTACCAATAGAAAGGAAAAGATAATGTGCACATTTCCACGAGAGAAATCCCACGCCTGGACCGTCGTTGACTGCTGTCATGATTCTAGCCTACGTCACAGCGTCATGTGCGCCTTTTACATCCAACACAAAAACTGCAGTTGTGGTGCTTTCGATTGTACTCAGAACTCGGAAATTCTGCCTTCTGAATAGGAAGATGTTGGTAACACCAGACTGCAGATGAGCTGCATACATGGCTGGACTGTGACAGAAAATTGGCCCGGACATTTTGACTAGAGACTGGCCCACCATTATAGGAAAAATCATAAAGCCTTTGAATGAAAATAAACACTATTGTGAAAGTGATGTACACTGTTTTGATGGTATATATGCATCAATCTATCAATCGTTTGTTGTAAGATTCAGTTAATTATTTTTTTAAAAGCTAGACATTTTAAATGAGAATAAGAAAGAAAAGTATTTCTTTGTGCCCCCCTTTTCCCTGTTAATGCCCTACATGGACCCCTGGCAACACTTTGCTAGATCTGCACCTGCACAGTTACCAGCTGTCAGCTACTTAGAAAAGGATCCTGGGGTTATTTGTCTCTCAGAAACAGTTCATAACTTCCCTTCAACTCATTCATGTCACCTAAAAGGTAAACCTGTTTCTCCATCACCTGTTCAGCTCTGATGATTCAGTAAGGACATCTCCTGGTTTCATCTTCATGTTTCCCTCTCACCACATATCCAAACCGACATCCTGACCAGCAGCTTTTTTGCAGCTGTGGCTCCAGCAAACATCAGCTGATACTAGAAATTAATATTAAATAAATTCTAACAATAGCTGATCAAGCTTAAACGTGCTGCTGTTGTTTAGCGCGACATCCGCTGGTTTCCTCTTTCGGCGCAAAGTGGGGAATAAACAAATAAGAGAGCCGATCAGCTGATCATTGATCAGTTTTCATGATTGAAGTAGAAACAGGAGAGGGAGGGGGGAGAATGAGAGAAGAAGAGGCAGCTGTGCAGCAAAGACACAGAATAACTCCAGCTTTGTGTCTTTTTCATTGTAGCTGAATTACGGGACAAACTGTTCCTTTTCACCTCAATAAGAAACGCGTAATATTTTCTCTGAATACCAGACAGGATGGTTGGCAACTCTAATAACTTATGAACAAAATAAAGTTCAACATCATTAACTTCATAGCACCACCCAGCTGTATAGAAACTCCGTCATGCTAGCTAGCACGCAGTACGGAAAAAGTCAGAATAACGAAAATAAACTGCACTTAAACTTGGTTCATATCTGACCCAGAGAGACTGCAGGTCATAACTTCTTACCTGAAGTTCAGTTCACACTTGGACCGGCGGCCGCCTCGCGTCTCTTTTCCTTCTGCGTCCCCTTTCCTTCATCCACCCGCTGGCCTCCACCACTTGCTAATGTTACTGAATCTGTGGAAACTCCGCGATGCCACCACACGAAGTAACGAGTAACGACCCTATCTAAATCCCAGTAACGAGTAACGCGTTCCTGATTTTGGCATAATAACTAGTTACCGTGCTCGTTACCACAATAATAACGTAGTTACTGTAACGCGTTAGTCCCAACACTGTTAGTAACTAATTACCATTTTCAAGTAACTTGACCAACACTGCTTGGGGGACATGAGCATCTTGGCTGGCTAAGCGTTCGACCTTGACCTTAATTGTTATGGCCAAAGGTCATTATGAGTAATATATCATAAGAAGTGTCATGGAGAGAGCTGCACAACACCCTATGATGTTACAATGAAGCCATGACAGGCTGATGTCATCAAACTGTAATAAAATTATAATAAAGGATCAAAGTTTTGACTCTCGCCCTTCAGTGATACTGCTCTTGTTTACACTATGTGTTCTTTGTTTTCAGTATTCCAATGACATTTACCTGATTGGTATACATTCAATTCATACCAAGCACAAAATGTTTAATAACTGGAATAAATAAACTCATTGTTGATTTGTGTTTATTGAGGGTTAAGAATCATTTTTGAGTGTAGATTTTAAGGAATAGTATCATAAAAGAGTGTGTAATGTGGCAATTGGATACGTGGATAACAAGATAAAGAGCAGCTATATAAGATAAAAATGTAACTGCTCTGATACTTTGTTTCTTTTAAGTAAATTAAAAACAATTTAATACATTGTGTTTAGTTTCAGTTGATAGTTTTGAGTTATATACAAATGCCAATCCATCTCCAAATGTATCAGTGTACAATAATAATAAAGTTAATATGTGCACAATTTTGCACCTTTTTTCTCTCCACCCTTTAAAAAGGTAGATTTTTGTAACTTTTAGATTAAAGAGCAAAACTGGCAACTAAGACTGGTTTTGAAAATGAAGGCTACAAATATCAATATCAATTACAAGAGCTCCTGTCAGGGGTGAAAAGGCTGTATCTTAGAGGGAAGTGCTCCAGTAACAAGCTTTTTCACCCTAAAAGTTACAGTCAGGCAGTATTTTCTTAGATGTCTTGTTTTCTTAGTATATGAAATGGGTGAACGCATTATTTAAAGACTCTCAGCATAATGCATAACAGTTTAACAACTAGCTCTAAAACTGCTCAGAACATCATCATAAACGAACATGTTATGTTATTTTAGACTCCATTATCCTTGTTGAAGTGTATGTACCACACAGAAAATTGAGAGTATGTTGTGGAATATGCAAACGAAATTAACTTTAAATTAGCCGAGGCGTTCCTGGTGTGCTCACAAAATGTAACAATGTGCTTATCATTTTCAGTTTGCATTCGCTGCAGTTTGTGAGTCAGAGGAGAAAACAGGGCCTTAGTGCTGCTGTTTCTCTGGAAGAAGGCGTGTGTGTG